CTCCGCCTTTCTAACAATTTCTAGCAAGGCTTCCTTCCAAGCTTGGATCTCCTCTCTACGCTTAGGATATCCTCCATGAGAAGAATAATCCTTAAAGGCCAGTTCAGGATCAAATTTAAGTTCCTCAATTAGACCTTGAAGGTGAGAATCATCACCAGAAGTTCCAACTTGATTGATGTAATGCAAAGGCATCCCAAATAGTTCTACTCATACCCAAGTATTAATATTATTATCCTTGTTTTGTGGTTTATATGCTGCAGTGACAGGTTCAGGATCATGGTAGACCTCCTCAGTATCAGTGTCATCTTGAACATTCACAACTTCCATAGTGGAGAGCTGGATCTCATGTTGTTTAGAAGTTGATGGAAGACTTTCTTCCAATACTCCCTCCCCTTATCCCCATTTGTAATAAGTAGTAAGTTTTGGGGCTGTTTTACTACCCATTTTTCTTGAGGCTTAACAACAGGTTGTCTATCACCCTTAGTCTTATCATACAAGTGCAACTCCAAAGTTTGTCCAACATCCCCCTTGGTCACAATCTGCTTCTTATTGTTCATAGGACAATTTGGACCACTGTGCCCTAGATGCAAACAAGACTTGCAGTACTCTGGCTTATCTTCATAGATAATGTTCTGAGCATAACCATAGGATCCACACTGGATCCACACTTTTTGTGGTATTTTATGTGTTAAATCCAGTTCCACACAAACACGGGCTAAGGAAGGTCTTGATAAGTTTGCAGTAGTTGCGTCAAGTTACCAATCAACCCTGCTATGTCAAATAGAGCCCTTTTATCATGAAGGTGGATTGGTAAACCCTCCATAGCAATCCAAATAGGGACTATCGGAGATTCCACATTAGGTCGGAAATCTGGAGTCCACTTGGTGACTCTCATCAAACTACCCTGAATAGACCAAGTTTGCCTATTCCAACAACGAAAATAATCTTCATCTGATTTGAATAAGAATGTGTTTAGAGTCCAACAAACCAAGGTGAAAAATTCCTGAAAAATCCAATAACCTCAAACGATTTACGAATGTCGAATAACAGCCATACTTGGACGCCCCCTTAAAAAAGCACCCTACCAAATAGGGTTGGACTCGGGCCGGTCGGACTGCACCGGAATCGGCCCGAATCGGTACTGTTCCGGCCCGGCCCGGGAACAGGTCAGCTAGTCGGTTCGGGCCTACCCGGCCCGGTAGGTAGGCGGTCCGGGCTCGGGCCTTGCAAAAGATGAACTGGACCGGCCTGGCCCGGTCCGGGCCTCCAACGGCTATATTTTTTTTTTTAAATTGAATAAGGCTCCTAGCCGTTGGGAATAATCCCAAACGGCTCTATAGCCGTTGGAGGGGGAGGAGGGGGGGGGGGGGTGGGGGATACCAAAAAATTCTATTTATACTCCTATTTTCTATACATTTTTCACACCATCTTCATACAATTAGTGGTGGACTCGGGCCGGGCGGCCCGACCCGGAACCGGCCCGGCCCGGTTACTGTTTGGCCCGGCCCGGGGCCCGGTGGGTCCAGCGGTTCGGTTTGGCCCGGCCCGGGTGATGGGCGGTCCGGGCTCGGGCCCTGCTTTTGGTGAACCGGCCCGGCCGGTTCGGGCCCGGGCCGGGCCGGATTTTTTTTTTTTTTGAATTTTTTTTAAGTTTTGGGTTAGATTAGGTATTTTGGGCAATTTGAGGTGGTTTGGGGTGGTTTGGGGTTGAGGGGGAGGGGTAGGGGGTTAAATAGGAGAACCAAAATCAAAAAAAAAAATATGGACCGGTTCGGCCCGGCCTGGTTTGGCCCGGAACCGGAACCGGCCACCGGCGGTTCGGGCTTGGGCCCTAGTTTTCTGGCCCGAGGCCCGGTTCGGGCCCGAACCGGGCCCGAACCGGCCCGAGTCCACCCCTACTGATACAATCCTACTCTCTAATTTTCTATTCTCTCATACTCAATCATCTCCATCTTCATCTTCTCCAAACCTCTCTACATACATATATATATATATATATATATATATATATATATATATATATATATATATATAGAGAGAGAGAGAGAGAGAGAGAGAGAGAGAGAGGACTTTTCATGTCCAGCCGGTCTGACGGGAACCGCCGTCCGGCCGAGGGCATTTCGGGCAGTTCCTGGTGGAATTTTTTGATGAATTATTTTGAACATGTTATTCATGAAGTCTAGTTTATCCATACCAAATTTCAGCTAAAAATTCAATCGGGAAGGCATTCAAATAATTTCTTGAACTTAACTGGGCAGTTCATACATTTAAAGTGCCCAGTTAACTTCAAAAAATTATTTGAATGCCTTCCCGATCGAATTTTGAGCTGAAATTTGGTATGGATAAACTAGACTTCATGAAGAACATGCTCAAAAAAGTTCATCAAAAAATTCCACGCCGGCTGGACAAGAAAAGGACTCTCTCTCTCTCTCTCTCTCTATATATATATATATATATATATATATATATAGGGGTGAGATCACATACTAACCATTCCTCCCATGCTAACCTACAAACTATCAAAAACGGTACATCTTTACATTATTTGTACTGCATATTGAAGTTCAAAGTGTTGCATATTATTTGTACTGCATATTAAAGTTCAAAGTTTTGCATATTGTTTTTATTGCATATTGAAATTCACAGTGTGCATCTTTACATTATTTGTACTGCATATTGAAGTTCAATGTGTTGCATATTATTGAGTTAGTAAGTTAGTATTTTAAGCATGGTTAGTATGTGATCTCTTATCTATATATATATATATATATATATATATATATATATAGAGAGAGAGAGAGAGAGAGAGAGAGAGAGAGAGAGGACTTTTCATGTCCAGCCGGCCTGACGGGAACCGCCGTCCGGCCGAGGGCATTTCGGGCAGTTCCCGGTGGAATTTTTGGATGAAATTTTTTGAGCATGTTCTTCATGAAGTCTAGTTTATCCATACCAAATTTCAGATAAAAAGTCAATCGGGAAGGCATTCAAATTTTTTTTTGAAGTTAACTGGGCAGTTCATACCGAATTTCACGAAAGTTTTTTTAGCGCAGACGTTTTTATTCGACGGTATTGGAGGCGCCGTTGTTGACAGCGCAGGAGCAGCATTCATTGTAAGTAACACCTTCCACTCTCTTGCATTTTTGAAAGAAATATTACAAACCCATGGTGCTAAAATGATTTTTTATATAAAGTTTGTGGTATTTAAATTACATATGCAAGTTACCTCACACTCCAAAGTTTGGAGTATTTTAATTATTTTTCCCTATTTTTAATTGGATTAATTTTTTATCGGGTCTAATCTATTTTGTCTCACTTGTTTAAGTTTAGTTTGATTTGAATTGATACAATCTAGTAGATAAATGTTTTATGAAATAATAACATATTTATGTTAAATTTTTTTAGACTTAAGTTACGAAGACACTAAATTGTAGTAATTATTAGTCATATTTGTCTAAATATGTTTTATGTTAGTAAAAGTTTTGAAAAAAAACCCATGTTCTAATGTTCTGTGTATTTTAACGGTATTGAGGTCTGGTCTAGTCATTTTAAGTTTGGTGCAATTTGATCTGAGACTGAAATCAGTCCAATTAAAAAACATGTTAATGATTAAATTGGGTGAATCAACTTAATCTATTAAATTTGATTAAATTCTGACTGAAACGCTAGAATTGAGTGAATATGAAGAATAGTGAAAATTTTATTGAGATATCTTTTTATAATAAAATAGGAAAAAGAATATAAAAATATAGCTAAAATAGTCAGCTTCAATAATCTCAGTCAATTCTATTAGAAAAGTAACTTCAACATTACTTATTTTAACTATTGCATCATTCAACACGCGAAATCAAAAGTTGCAATATTTGATAAAATATTTGTGTATAGCCTTATAATAAAGTTGATAAACTGAATATATAGGTTACCAATGAGGTTTTAAATTGAGTTTTCAAAAAATGAGGTTTTAAATTGTATTATAATCTGAATAAACAAGGTTCACAATCAAGAACATAAAAAAGTTTATTTAATGATTTTATATTAATGATTTCATTTCTAAAAATTGCCATAAACATATACTCCTAATATAATTTTATATTGTGATTCATTTAAAAAATAGGTACCCATAAACACATTACTTATGAGATGAATTGCTTTCAACAAAAATGAGTTCTTTTGTCATATGTGTAACACACACGTCAGTTGGCTACATATAATCAAAATAAAAAATGTTTAAATTGATGAATTTAATGAAACCGATAATTTTAGCTTTTCCCTCATTTATATTTATCTTAATTGTATTAATAATATTTACAACAAACAAAAACTGGCAAATTCGGTTAACTCCATTGTTTCAATAGTTTTAAGTCGACCATAGAAATTCTCATTGTTATCATCTGTAATAACATATTCACTTTTTTTAATTATTTACCACAAAAATATTTTGTGATCGTCAGAGATAAATTTTTATTTTTAGTCACCTAATTATATATGATCCTAAAAATGGTAAAACATTCTTTTCACTGAAAAGACAACTAAGCTAAATTAATATCATTAAGCATGGTTTATGAAGATTTTTTTAATAAAAAATACATACTGTTTGTCGACCCCGGACTCTTTAGTGGCTAAGACTTGAATATTGTCATTGTTGTATATGTTCAAATTTATTTTATTTATTTTATGAAGAATGTATTTTTATATTAAACTAATTAGGTAATTTTTAAAATGGTGGCCCACGTCCTATGACTGCCCTAGGCCTATGTCCAGATTATTGGGCCGATAGTTGGCTCTGAATTCAATTGAATGTGCCATTCTCCTATTATATTTATTTTTTATTAGGAAGATTGTCACATAGGCTCATACACAATAGTCAATGTATCAATTGAGTTCTCATATTATCAAATCACCCAATCAGACTCCAAATTGGAATTATAATATACTCACTCGAGCGGCTCAGCTAGTGAAGCACCTATTATGCCAATGTATATTTTTACAATCCAGCAGATGCAGTTAATTCAATCAAATCAGTCAAAATTCCATCAATTTCAATAGATTCAGTCAATTCCAGCAATAAGAAACATGCTCTTAATTTGTTGAATTATATCTAGAACTGCATTTATACATAGTACGTAGTAATATATTGCTTCCTACTTGATTTAGGGACAGGTACAAAAATGGAAAGAGAAATACCATTCCAAACTCCCTATTACCTAATAGGGAACAATGAATCAAAGTGCAGTTTTTCCTATGAAATCACACCATAGACCAAGAGTAACATGTAGACCCCAGAGCAACAAAATTGAGTGGAACAGAACTTGTTCTAACAAATAAATTCAACACTCCAACTGCATCTGCAAAGATAATAAATTTTGATTGATTCAATATATAAAAGAGAAATTAAGTATAATAAATTTTGATCGATTCAGTATATAAAAGGTTTATGCAACTAACAAAAGAGAAATTGCTTCTAATAAGATTAAAACATAATTAAGGTGCACAAATATGATATGACTCAAAACGTTTTATTTTCAAAGCGGGACTAATTTAATCAAATTGAAAATATAATTCCCCATTTAAGACTATTCTAAGAGAAAAATGATAGTCCTATTTGTGGGCTTTTTCTATAATGTAGTCCTATTTAAGGAATATCCGCGCTACAAAATCCATGCTGGTCAAAATGAGAGAAAGCATGTTTGGTATGAGCTTGACACTGCTTATTCAATATGCTACCTGTTTATGCATTGGATGATTCTTCATCAAGTCAAAAAATGAATGGGCAATGAAGATCAATTTATCAATCTATGGAGCCTTAACAAAGCCAACTTCAGTAAGCATTTTCCTATAATAATCACACCGGCTCCGGTGATAATCAATCCACACACACAACTGTCTGATCGCTTCCCTCTTCTCCTCTTTGAGATCACACATTGAATCTTCACTTTCTTTGATAATCTTCTCCAAATCCCTCACTTTATTCTCACACTTCCATACTTTCTCTCTATAAACCAATATCTCAGCCTCCTTCTCATCCAACTGAGAAATCAAGCAGTTCATGTCAACTTTTATCTGGGCCATCGCTTTGTGCTTTCTCGAAACCCAATCCCTTGCAAAGTTGAGCTCACACGAAGCGCTCGAGATCCGGTTAATGAAGTTCGACGTGCACTTCTCGAAATCTAGAGAAACTGTGTCGAGTGAAGCAAGTGCATCATTTGCAGCTATTGACATTTCTTGGATTTTCTTGATACCTACGTTGTTTTCCTTCTCGTAGGTTTCTCTTGTTTTGAGGTACCATTCTTTGTTCTCCGCGTGGAGCTGTTCAGCAACTCGGATCCTTCTGCTTAAGATTCTAAGGCTGTCTTCGTACTTCTTCCGCAACTCCTCAAGCATCTCGTCTATCTTCCTCTCTGCATTCTGGAAGTTCATGTTTGCTTCTTCATATTTATCCTGCATCTCATTCACTTGTTTCTTCAGTTTTTTAATAGTGTTTTCTTGCTCGACAAGTTTTCTCTCCAGTTTTTCCTTTTCTGTACTTGATAAACTGCCTTCTCTCAAACTAGGCTTCTGGCTATTCTCTTCTAGTGATATTTTCTGTTCCATTGATTCTAACTTCAAATGGCATTCCGATACTTCTTTTGATTTCATGTCAAGTGATCTTTCCAGTTCTGCTTTTTTATTACTCAGATACCCAACTTCTTGTTGTAGAGAGTTGATCTTTTTTGTTAAGGCCTCTACTTGATCAGATCTTTCTATAGAACTTAGATTTGATTGTTGTTGCAGGTCCTCGTGTTTCCGAAGAAGATTAGAAAGCTCGTCTTCCTTTTCTTTAAGTTTTCTTTCCATTTCAACGGATCTGGATTGTAGTTTCTCTTCAAGTGCAGCCTTCTGCAGACTCAAACTTTCAATTTCAACCTCTAAACACTTAATATGATCAAATGTTGTTTTACTCTCTTCTGATAGCCGGCTTACCTCATCAGATTTGGTCTTAATATTTTCTTCAAGCTCTATAGTTAGAGAGTTGGAATTTTGAAGCTCTAGGACCAAACCAGCAATTCGTTCCTCGTAATTCTTGGTAATGCACAAAAGATGTTCTTCTTTTTCTACCAATTTTTCCTTTAAGATGGAGCATTCCTTGATGAACTTGCTCTCACTTTCTTCATATTGAATCCCCAAGTCTTTGATGATGAGTTCTTCAGGTCGGGGGACTCGATCATCGTTATAAGCTGAATCAGAATCGTCCACGTTCACTTCGGTCGTGGACGTCAATGTATCCTTTAGAATGACATCATCAGAACCAGGAGGAGTTTCAGCTTCGACAGTGTTAAGGTCCAGCTCTTCTTCTTGGCTTCTACTGGCCCTCCTCCTCCGGGAGGAAGAGTCACTACCGGATGAACCACCACTTCTTCCTCCTACTCCAGCAGACTCCTCGGGAGAGAAGTATGACTCTGAGTCTAAACTGGAACCCGAGGAAGAGGAGGAAGAAGAAGCACTATCGTTATTTGCGCGACATTTTTTCCTCACCTCTCCCTTTAGATTGTCATAGAGGGAGTAAAGGGATTGGTATTGTTTGTGGAAATCTTCCACCAATTGGATCAGTTCAGCTTTCCTCTTTTGATTCGAATCACGACTCCCTTGGTTTACGTTGCTCTTGATCAGCTTTATGATCCTTTTCACATTATTCTCAAGTTCTGCAGTTCAAACAAATGGATTCTCAGAATGTTAGGATCCATATGGAACACAGATTTTCATGTCACCCTATATTCAAATGTATTTTTTTTTTGAAATAATATTCAAATGTATTATATATGGAGTGCGTGTACACACTTTTTGTACACATTTTGTTTAGACACTTCCCAGTTGTCTGCCTACAAGGCAACTTCTGAACGAATTGTCTCTGTAGACAGACAAGGTGTATGCAAAATGTGTACAAAAAGTGTGTACCAACAACTTTTTCCTTATATATGAATAAAATCAGAATAAGTAATTACCTATTTTGATCCATTTGATTTCTTCTTCATTATGTGGGTCAATATGACTTGCAAATTGCTTTGTGGACGCCTTCCACCGTTTCTTCGTCATCGTCTGCTCAAAATCCTCACACACTTTTGCAGGTTCATAACAGTGATGCAGATACCTCAACGCAAAAATTCATTCCATTTACCTGCAAATGTCAATTTTAATAACTAATCTGCATTAATAAGATATCAAAAGTGGCTAATTTGTGGCATCATCATCACATCATCTTCAATCTAGGAATATATTAAATAAGAATCCCAGAGATAACGCATGAATCATTAAGGCCTTAAGGGTTGTGAAATTAGAGAAGGATTTTAAGATTCAACATGATAACATAAACTCACATTTTCTGTTAAAAAGAGAGAAAAAAAAAACTGATCTCAATGGTATTTCAATTTATAAAGATGAGCATTGCATGAGAATAACATTATTTATACATCTTAATGATGCGTGGTCATGAAAGATCCTCAAACTAAAATCATTTCAGTGATTTAGAAAAGAATACTCACTATATAATTGATTAAATTTTCTAGGAAAATGGCCTAGGGCTCAAACAATCATATGCATGCATCTTTCTGGAGGCCATTTACCTTAACTTCATTAATAAATAAATTTTAAAAAAATGGAATCCAGATACTGGAAAGCCAAGAGATTAATTACCTGCAATTTGAGAGGTTGAATATGATCAGGCCGGGGAGTACCATGGAAAACTGAGAGATGTAATAATATTGGACTCGTAATTAGAAACGGGGAAACTTGACAGGATGAGTTAAGTACTCCGTATTTCTTAAAATATAACTGCTCCATTTTTAAGAGTTTTTCTAAAACGTCTTTTTTCATATTACTCCCTCCGTCCAAAATTAATTGTCTTGTTTTCTTTTATTTGATGTCCCAAAATATTTGTTTTTTACTCTTTTGATAATAATATATGACTTATGTTAGTTTAGTTTTTCTCTACTCAAATCTCAATCACAGCTTTTACTTTTTCAAACATTTTCTTAAAACTTGTATTAAACCAAACAAAACAATTATTTCAGAACGGTGGGAGTACTAGATTAAATTCAAAAGATAAAAATATGATTATTTTAAAATTTTCCAAAACGTGATATATTCGGTGACTAGTTCTCAGTGACTCATCATTTGTCAGTGATTTGTTACTTTGTAATACATTATAGTGACTCTTGTTCAGTTACTCGTACACAATGATTAATCATATTTTTGTCCAAAAACATAATTAATCATATTTTTATTCGGGAAAACTCTAATAGTAATATACATGTCATTTTTTCCTAAAACCATTCACATTCCTTCAAAATCAAATTTAAATAGATATTGAGAGTTGAGACTTGAGATCCCACATTAATATAAAACACTAAAAATAATTATCAATCTAATTACTTATACTCAAATCATCAATTAAATACAAACTAAACAATTTAATTAAATTTTTTAGGGAAAACTTTCAAATCAGTCCATCTACTATTTCAGAAAAGTCAATTGAGTTCATGTACTATTTTATCAATCAATTAAGTACAAGTCTCAAATTTTAATCACTTTTGCCATTTAATCGGTAAACAACCAGTAACCCCTTCCTTTTGCTGATGTGGATGCCACTTAAGCTCTTTTATACTATCCTCCGTTCTCTTTTAATCGCAACATTGGACTTTTTGCACTATTCACATATTCTACTTTGACTATTTTTTATTCATTAATGTATTATAAATTAATTTTTTAAAAAATATTATTAAATTCTTCTCATTCTAAATTTTCAAAATATGAATTTTTTGAATTTTTTACTAATAAGGAATGAAAGATATTAATGGTCAAACTTGTGTGTTGGCAAACATGAAATGTTGACTGTTGCAATTAAAAGGGAACGGAGGAAGTACTACGTACTACATATTGTTTTCCTTTTTTCCTTTTCTTTTACCCTTCTTCTCCCTTTTAATTTTCTTTCTTCGTCCTTGTTTTTCTCTGGTTCGTACCACCCCTATCCATCCACCCCCTGCAACTCCTCTCTTCTCCATTCCCTTTTTTTCTTTTTCCCCTACTTCTCCCTGCAACTCTTCTCCCCTCTTCTTCAATCTCTTCTTCTTCCGCACGACTTCTAACCCACGGCCCCACCCAATTCACCTTCATTCTTGCAACCTTGCCTCCTCTAGTCCTCATCCTTCTTTCCATTTTCTTTCTTTTTCCTCCTTTTTTTCGCTTCTTCTACACCACTCAGCCTTCTATCCCCCTTCTTTCATTCTCAGAGCAGGAAAACCAAAGGCAAACCCGTGCAATACACGGGTGGAGTAACTAGTTTTATTTAAAAGTAAACATATTCTTATCTTTCTTAGAGGATAGGAGCGTGCTTCCTACATATGCTTCTAGTCAGAGTCAAATGCCATTCTGTCTGAAAATAAGAAAAATATTTCCAATTAAACCAAACAAAGATATTATATCTCTAAATTGATGTGATGTTGTAAATTTACGTTTCGATTTGATCATTCTATCACTAGATAGAGCTCTTGAAAAATACAAACATATACTTCGTATAGTTTAGTATGGATAGCTGATCGTATAAGAAAAAATAGTTTGAGCTATAAAGTTTTTTCCGGCTTAATTTAAAGAACAAAAGAAACAAACTACTACCTCCGTAACATTAGAATCTTCCCAAATGGAAAGTTGGTGAAATTATGAATAGTGATAGGAGATATAAATTATTGAGGGTATGATGGGAAGATAATAAAATAATGTGGTGGAATGAAGGATAAATCCAAAAAAAATAGGTGGAATAGTGTATTATTTTTAAATTTATTGAGGGTATGATGGGAAGGTTTAGAAATGAGAAGATTATTTAGTTACGGATAAAAAAGGAAAGTGGGAAGATCTTTCTGTTACGGAGGTAGTATATATTTGTCTCTACGTTGATTTTTTCTTTCATGCTGTAGTTGTTTTACTAACGTAAGAACGATTTTTTAATGACACAACTGGTACTATATATATATAATATATATATATAATTATATATACGCACGAGTTGGTTAGTGTAACCTAAACATCTAATAGAACTAGTGATTGCTCGCCCAAGGCGCAAGAGCATTTGCCCAATATTTAAGTATTTTTTTTCTAAATAACTATTACATGTGAGATTGTTGTGATTATTTATGATACATTAAAAAATAGTGCTTGAGAGTAGCAAAAAAAATGTGTAAAATAGTCATCACAATTATTAATTATCTCTGAATAATATGTAGTATATATTTATAAGATTATAGTAATAGACTCTAATTGTTATTATGTATTATATTCATTGGACAAGAAAAATCAAGGATGACATAAGCATGCTTATTTGGTAAATTTGTAATAATTGGTATATTTCTAACAATTATTATACATATACTCGTTTTTCACTTTTATATTATGGTTTCAACTTGTATAAAATAAGTATTCATATACACATTACTAATGAAGTAAATTATTTTTGGAGAAAAATTAACTTCAATTTAATCATGATCCGTACAAAGCACGGGTGAATGACTAATTTTTAGGAATTAATTGTAGTACTTTACTACTCCCTCCGTCCCATTTATATTGTCTCGTTTTACCTTTTCGGGAAGTCCCACTTAAATTGTCCCATACCATATTTGGCAAAATTTCTGTGACTCTAAATCATTCTTACTTTATTCTTACTTTATCAATTAATATCAACCACACAAATCCACATTTCTTAATAACCGTGCCATCCTCTTCCGTCCCAATATAAATGAGACGGAGGTAGTATTTAAACAACTTTTTTATAGATAATATTTAAATAACTTAAAATATGAACCAATGATGACAAAACAACAAATGATAGTGCTTTATTCCTTCAAGAAATATAGGTGGAAGCTAGAGTTGAACTGCCGTCATTTTAGCTAACGGAAGTATAAGGATAAATTTGACCGTATGTAATTATGTACATTAATTATATAAAAGAGTACAAGTATTAATGCATACACAATACAAGGGTACTAACCTATATTCATAATTATAATGTTTTTAGATGATATACATGTCGTGAAGTATTGATAATGACCACGTATACACAACTACACAAGGCATACATCTTTATTGTTATTATGTAAATGTGTTTTTATTGTATCAAGGAATACATTTGACATTAAACCAACCACATCATAAAAAATTACCCATTCTTGATTTATAAAAACAAACATAAGGATTAATCAAATTTCAAGAGAAACAATTTGAAAGTAAAACTCATAAAATACTCAGTCAGAGATGAATTTAGGAGTGATAAGTACAAGCTAAGAAATAATTAACATGAATGGGTAGCTAATTGGAAAAAAATTGAATCGATTGAAATTACCTCAACTATAGCTTGGAACCATGGTAGGAACAACGACTACGGCAGGTGGGAGAAATAAAGTTTAGCTCAAACGCTTCAAGTCATCACACACGGAGGCAAAGACATATCCTCCTTATCTTCAACGGGCCATTCGTTTTCACAATAAATACAACCGGTCCCTCTCAACCTCTTTAGGGATGCCTCAAAAAAACTTTGATTGTTAACTCTTTCTTTTGTGTTTTACCATGTACTTTTTTATTTCAATTATGGTATTGTAATTTTAGTTTTTTAATAAAATTGGAAAGTGTTCCCCGACGCTTTCCCCACTTCTAGTGGCTTCTCCGGGACAAAAAATATATATAGTTTAGCTCACCGAACACAGTGAGTTAGACAGAAAGAATAAGGATGTTTTTACTTGGACTGTAATTTGCTGGTCTGGTCTGGTCTGATTTGGTCTGGTCTGGTCTGGTCTGAACTGACCTGGTCTGGTCTGGTAAGGTCTGGTTTCTTTGTATTTTTATAACTGTCCAAGTCTGGTCTGGTCTGTTTTGAACTGGTCTGGTCTGGTCTGGTCTGGGACAAATTACAGTCCAAGTAAAAACATCCTAAATTTAACAAAAAAATCACTTCATAAAAATGATATGTAGCATTAATTTATGCTCTCAAATGTAAGGTCGATTAAATAGTTAGGGATTGAAAAGAAACATATAGTGGCCTGGGAGGCGCTAGTCGCCTAGGGTTTCGAGTGTACCATCACCCTACGCCTTGTCATGGGGATGGAGCGGCTTGTTTCTTTGTTTGGAGTCTAGATCAATACTGAAGGTACAACAATGACCAGACAAAGATCTTCATATCAGTCTTCTTTGTTATAGATTATGGGGGTGTTTGGATCTGATTCTTAAAACTGCTTCTGCTCCTTCAGGGAGCAGAAGCAGAAGCTAGAGTGTTTGGGTGAAAGTGCAGAAGTGATTCTGGTGCTCTAATTTACTCCCAGAATAAGTTTTTTTAGAAGCTGGGGGTGATCAGCTTCTGAAAGCTGATTCTGATTCTGCGTCTGCTTTAAAAAAGAACCAGAAGCAGAATCAGTTCCAAACACCCCCTATTTGTGGCATCATTTCCGGCTATGTTGTCATCTATTCTGGCGTGCGATTGTTTGCTTTTGGAGAAAGAAGATGAAGTGTTGACTATCCGCCCCCCTCCTGAGCTGCCACGAAGTAGTGAACGAGTGCGATTGTTTGCTTTACTTTATTTCCAAATTTACTTTTATTTCGATGGACTATTTACCTTGTTTACATACTATTTCTGTTAGTGACAGTCTTGACTTACCTAGCTTAGCTATGCTCGGAAAAATTGAGATCTCTAAAACCGTTAATTGCCTCGAAGCTCTTGAATATTCAACGAAAAGTTTTGCTCAGTTTTGA